GTTTAAAAAACTGTAACAACGGACTATTTTTCTTAGCGGATGCATGTCAATCTAACCCTAACCCTAACCCTAATCCTAACCCTCACACCAGATTTTGACACTGGTTTTCGGACCCCCCCAGACCCCCCCCCCAATAAAGCAAAACTGCACGTTTCAGAGTGGCCTTTTATTGTGGCCAGCCTAAGGCACACCTGTTCAATAATCATGCTGTCTAATCAGCATCTTGATATGCCACACCTGTGAGGTGGGATGGATTATCTCGGCAAAGGAGAAGTGCTCACTATCACAGATCTTTTCAGATTTGTGAACAATATTTGAGAGAAATGGTTATTTTGTGTATGTAGAAATGTTTTAGATCTTTGAGTTCATCTCATGAAAAATGGGAGCAAAAACAAAAGTGTTGCATTTATATTTTTGTTCAGTGTATATAAAAATATGTATCAAAATATGTATATCCTATAAATACACAATCAACAGACACATTTACTGTATACATATGCACACATTAAGACATAAATAAAAACACAACAATCAATAGAAAACAACAGTCACTTCAATATCTTTGGGAAATGTACATTAGTGCAAGCCTGTCCCTAGCAGCGTAAAAAGCGTGGTGTTAAAGCTCTTTTTTACTCTATCGTTGGTTTTTTGGGGTATATTTTGTAAACTTGACAACCAACATGTTTGGCAAAAAGTACACATAGAGATATCCTGATTTTCAGAAATTACTAGTTCAGTAAAGGCATTACTAATCCCACTCATGCTGTGAGCTAGGAACTCTTCTCTTGCTGTTTCATTTCAGATAGAAGACGAAAGCGGATCCTCGTTTTCATCAGCATACCATTGTTTGAAAAGGTCTATGGCGAGCTAGATCGCTCTTGAATTTGGAAACAGCACTTTAACAAAAATAACCTCAACTCAAAATCCAATTACTAGCTTGTTCCTGACCTTTAAACCACAAGAAGAATGGCAAAAGGATAGTGTTTTATCAGTTGCCATAGAACTGCCGATGTTAAAACCTTCAATGTTGTGAAAAGCATCTTGACCTCGGGAAAAGCAGTTGGATAGAAAAATCTCAAATCAAAGCCAATTTACTAGTTCAAACATTTTTAACAAGCGGGTGATTGAACCTTTAACTGAGATTGTCAAAATGAAAAAATAAAAAAATTCATTCAGGTACTGTTTTTTTTTAAAGGTAGTTCATGGACATTGTTTTGTGAGGTGATCTTAATCTTTGTCCAACTCCTTTTAAGACTAAAACACTCTGAAAGGGTGCATACTGTAAGTAAGCACCATGATCTATGTATACAGAAATAAAGACGACACTGTACATGTATCGCAGTGTGAAGCATTTTTGTTTGTTTGTTTGTTTGTTTATTTAAAGGGCAGTGCACATTGATCAACATTGCTGTAAACGTGCCAGTGTTAGACAGCAGGCTAATTTTCCAATGTTGTCCTTTTGGCAAGATGTTAAATAACCACAACAAGACTAGAGAAATAAAAACATAATTAAAAAGCATACACTCAGCAACAGACAACATTAAATAGGAACAGGCAAACACACAAACAGATGAAATACTATCACAGTTAAAAGTGTTCACATATTTGATTGCTTAAAAGCCAGTTCTTAAGATAGCGGTTAAATGTATGATAGGCGGTGTTATTCCTTATCTGTATTGGTATTGTGTTCCAAAGTGTTGGTGCCCTCACAGAGAAACAGTGTTTACCAAAGGAACTGGACCTAAGAGGGACTACACAGTCCCCTCTTAGGGCAGACCTTGTGGTTCTGCTGTTTGAATGGTTCTGCTGTATAAAAGTGCAGAGTGGTGGTGGGGGTGCCTTGCCGTTTAGAATCTTAGAAATTAGTCAGCATCAGTGTGTTTTAAAATATGTTCCCAGCTGAGCAGGTTATGTTTGTCCAGGATTTTGCAATGGTGGTATAGCTTAGGTTTTCTGTCCAACACTTTGAGAGCTTGTTTGTGAAGTGACAGGATAGGCCTTAATGTCACAC